CCTCGATTGTGAGAGATGTGTCAAACAATGTGTCAAAAAATGTGGTCATTTAGCTTAATTCTTCAGAAAAATAAACCTTATCAAAATACTCAATTGTCAACTCCCTCTATGTTTTCCATAACTGAGCTCAAATTGGAGCAAAGGAGAGAAAAAAATTGCTGTACGTTGATAATCGGTATAAAACTTTTTCAAATCTTATGATATGACTTGTAAAAATCGTTAAGCATAGTTAAACGAAGTAGCGAAAAATGAACCATATCACCGATCCTAAACTTATTTGGAAAAAGCTTAGTTTATCCTTGGAGTTGAAATAAGCTTGTGTCAATTCCTGCATTAATCATTATTTGAAGGAAATTAAAGGATTGAGTTGAGAATAAAAGGTTCCAGAAAGAATGTCGGTATAAAACTTTTTCAAATCTTATGATATGACTTGTAAAAATCGTTAAGCATAGTTAAACGAAGTAGCGAAAAATGAACCATATCACCGATCCTAAACTTATTTGGAAAAAGCTTAGTTTATCCTTGGAGTTGAAATAAGCTTGTGTCAATTCCTGCATTAATCATTATTTGAAGGAAATTAAAGGATTGAGTTGAGAATAAAAGGTTCCAGAAAGAATTTGTCGGATTGGATGCATGAGGTTAGTGGTAAGTTTTAGTGTTAGAAAAAATTCTAAAGCATAGAGAAGCACACATTCACAAAACCAGGTTTAGAATTATATGATTTGACACTATAATGGGGTTTTTTGATTGATTAGATGATTCATATTTACTCACCTGAGGAAAGGCATCCAAAACTACTTGTTTAAATTTATAAAAAAAAGAGAAACGAATGAGAATACGACTACACACACTGCACGCTACGAGAAACTCAAATCGATCTATATTTATCAAGGTATTAAAAGTGACGAGGTGTGGCAAGTGGCAAGGTTGAGCCTCAAGTCTTACGGGTTACAAGCCTAAGCATAATAAGGCGTTTCTTTATTTTTAATATTATTTTAATTATTTAAAGATTATTGACATTAAATATTTTTATTTATTTAATTTATTTAGCTTAAAAAATATAAATAAAAGGCGTGTGCTTTAACGCTAGCTTTAGTCGCACCTTTTGCGGCCTAAATTTGCATTACTCACGCTTTCGTTGTCTAGACTCTAAACTTACATTATAGGCGATAAAAATGTCTTTTTCATGCATTTACCATATGGAAGGCCCATTATCCCAGCTAAGGCCCTGCCTTTTTTTGTCTCTTAAAAATTTGAACACCAGAAGAAAAACTTGTGCAAAAAATCGTACAAGTCCAGAGGGACGACATAGAATAATCAAGCACAAGCATTGTGGCGGCTTGTATCAAGCTCGGATAATTTTGATCAAACACCTAAGAGTAGTGCCGAGCGTACAGACCTAACACTTACAGGGATCTTACTGACCCCTCACAAGGGTAGGGTCGGATTTTATTTTATTAGGGTCGGATTTTATTTTATTTTTTCATTTTTTATGGCGTTGGGGCCAGTGTGGGGCCTACCCCATGTGAGGGGTCGGTAAGACCCCTATACAACAAAGTCCTTAACACATGGCTTTGTTCAACACCTAAAACTAGAGGGCATGATAGATTAGACCAGCACCTCAAAATCAGAACATATGGACCTGATACAACTTGACCTACACCCAAAGTAACCTTAAAAATCATACCTCCATTTAGTCATACAAACAAAGACTTGTCGCATTTCATGTTTCTTCAAGGCCAAGTGATTGATGTATATTAAGCCGCTATTTGATGAAGATTAAAATCAAAATTTTAACAGATTTTGATAAAAAATGATGAAATATATGATTGAAAAATTATGGATCCCATAAAATACATAATTAAAATTAATTGTTGACTTTAACTTTAAATTTAATCTTTACCAAACAGGGCTATACAATTGTTGTCAATTACCCAAACACCATAACGAGAAAATAAGTTAATTATATTCACATCACATTTTTGTTAATCACACCATAATTTAATTGCAATGACGATTTCTAGCTTTTGCTCATTTTTGTACTCGTGTGTCTAAATTTCGTTGTACATTAACTCCTAACATTCTATAAATAAGCACATTCTATCCCTGGAAAATGTCAAACAATTCGTCAAAGAGAGTTAAAAGACTCGTATGTCTCTCACATTTTTAAATAAACAAAAAATACAAAAATTCGATTGAATAATTTTCTTATGCTAACAGAATATGTGGACATAAACTGTTTTCAAAGACAAAATGTGATAATTAATCAATAATTAAAAGACATTAATACGACAAGAAAAATTAACATTATTCCAAAAATGAGCAACTATTGATGACATTCATTGCAATTAGCATGGCTAACAAAAAAGTGTAGGATGAATATAATAACCTTATTAACATTAATTACATAAATTAGTAACAAAGATTACCCCACCCCCACGCCCATTTTCTCTTCACTTTTCAAGAATGAAACATTTTTTGAAAGCTCGTTTTTGGCTTTAGAAGCCACTCTACTTTTTAAATTGTAAAAGCAACAATTTGTACTCCTATATTTATATAAATCATTGTCTTTCATGTTACTGAATCATGTGTTTTTATTCTATAATAATGTTAATGATCCAAGAGTAAATATTAGACTTGGAATCTGAATCTAGACTGTATTTAGCTAAAGGATATTGCCTTCAAGATGGCCCCCAACGGTGGGGAGGACGACGGCTGGCGATGGGTCATCCACTAACTTTGTTAGTTACCTTTTTAACAACACCATTATCAATAAATTACTACATTATGTTTTTCAATTTACTAAGTTTACAAGATTCATCATTAAATTTGGCATCCATTGTCTCCCCTTCCTTCACCACAAAAGAGCTTAGTAATTTCCTACACCAATAGTGTCATGTTCTCAATAAAATTAGAGCCAACTACATGAATTCTTTTTCACCTATTCTGCAAATAAAGTCGATTTAATATAAATATTTTGAAGGTTAAGTTGGACAAAATAAAAAAAAATTGGGATTTATTTTTATATAATTGGAAGTTGAGGATTTACTTGTATGTTGTAATTAGATTTAAGGGACTTTCTTTTCAAATTGAACATGTGGGACTTTAAAATTCAACCTTTGACCATTCTTTTTCTCCCAAAACCCACCCCTACACAAACAATAACGCGAGAGAAGCAGAGACCGTGAGAAAAGAAAGAAAAAGGAAAAGAAGAAAGGAAAAAGAAGAAGAAAAAAGGGAGGAAGAAAGGAGGTAAGGCTAATCTCTTCAAGTTGGAATGTAATTTATCCATTGTTCCAAGTGATAAAGGTGTGATTTATGTTAAATTTTTAGGGTTTTAACTTGTAGTAATAAAATGTCAAATTTAGGTGACATATGTACGATTTGGAGCTCAAGCTTGGGGATTAATTAAGTTTCAGTTTCAGTAAGGTAGGCAGTAAAATTTGTGGGAACCCTAGAATTCGATTTAGGATTTTTGATTAATTAATTGTGGAAATGATTATATAAATGGAATATTTCACTTGGAGTTGATTTTATGAAACAAAATGTATATTAAATGGGTGGAATTATGGTTACTAGTTTTACTAGATTGGAGAGTAAAATTAGTTTTAAACTTGAGAAGAAGGTTTTGTTGATGAATTAGTTATTAGAAATGGGATTAGAATGTGGGATTAGCTCCAATTGATCAAAAGAAAATTTGGGAAATTCATTCGAGACCAATTTTAGTTAAGTATTATAGAAGTAGATCTTAAAGTTTCTTAATTTAATAGTGATTGGTTGGTCATCTTGTTATGTATTCTAAGTGGTGACGAGGAGATTGGAAGAGCCTATCCAACATCTTAGGTTCAACTTGTGTTATGTGAGTGGATAAGCTTATTTTTTTTATAAATTAATATTTATTTAATTTATATTAACTCAGAAAATTTATTAATTCTTACAGTCGATTTGACAACACGATTTTTAGAATAAAGTTGATTTATAACCGGTTGTTTTTAAAAGTGAAATTCAATTTAGTAAATCATTTTATTAGCATGTTATATGAGTATTAAATGTTTCCGCATATTTAAAGTTATTTTCTAAAAATCACCAGAAAGTACGCATGTGATTTTACCCTCGTCTGCACTGGTGTGAATGTGTTTCCACAGTATATGATTTCATATGGTTATTTTACCCACTTTACGTTGGTGTGAATGTATTTCCACAGTGTATGATCATTCTAGTGATTTTACTCGCTCTGCACTATTGTGAATGTGTTTCCATAGTGTATGACCATTTTATAACTCTGCGCGAGAATTACAGAATTACAAAATTTCAAAATTACAGAATTACAGAATTTCAGAATTTAATAACCTTGCTATGTATATCGAGATTAATCAATACATGAGTATGGTTATTTCGGGTACATTTTTGGTGTGATGTTTCAGTATTACATAGCTTATCAGATTTTAGAAATGCAGTATACAGAATAAAGATGTTTATGATTACAGTATATTTTAGTTTTGATAGTATCATCAAATTTTAAACTACAAAATTCAGCTTATTTAGTTTAATGAATAAATATTTTAGTTTATATGTATGTGAAAATAAATTTTATACTATATGTCGATTTTCAGAAAGATTTTATGAATGGAAAAGTATACTTTTACAAATATCCACTCACTGAGTCGTAGGCTCATATTTTTGCCACCTCATTTCTTATCAGATAGAAGCTGTGTTGAGCCATATCGGAGCCTGTCGATCGACGAGTTGAACTACATCGTCTCATTGTTTGCATGTCTCATCTTGTTAATTCGTACAACACATATTTTCTGGGATTGATGTATTGTGTCAGAAAATGTATTAAATCATAGGCTAATTGCATATTTTGTGTATGTTTTGAAATGAATTTGCTTGGTGGTAAAGAAGGGTAAATTTCTTTTTCAGTACAACTACTTTGGAGAATTGGTATTTTGAGGGGCCGGTGTACCCTGTTTTAAACTATATATACATGTTTGGGATATTTGATTTTATTTTCAGGTGATTTTAGTCCATTTTTAAGAGGGAACTCTGTCGAAATTTTTATAAAATTATAACAGTCAAAGCATGTCAAGTTGCTTTGGTGATGGGTCCGGCACTCTGCTAGTATCTACCATCGGCGCACTTCACGTGTCGAATCCATTAGGGTGATTTGAGACAGGTCGTGTCAATTGGTATCGGGCATGGTTATAAAGTCAGTTTGCATGGTTTATTTGATTTTTGTTCTTATCATATCATACATATTTTGTAGTTGGAAGTCATGGCTCATGGTAATAAGACACGCAGGCTCCAAGATATGTCATCTCAACCACCAGTTGTTCCTGATAAGGATGCCAGTAGGGTCGAGGAATCAGTTCATCCGACCCATGATCAGCGGAGATATGGGGATGTAGCCCAGCCTGACTAATAGCTGATAGGATTGTCACCGCTGTTGTTTCTGCTCTACACAATACAAATAAAGATTGTAGTATAGAACAGGCTGCTAAATTAGGAGCTAAAGTATTTACAGGCACATCTGATCCAGTAGAATCAGACTCATAAATGGTGAGGATTGAAAGAGTATTTGATGTGATGGATTGTCCTGATGATCGAAAATTACGACTAGCTACTTTTTTGTTAGAAAGAAGTGTTTATGATTGGTGGAGGTCCGTACAGAGTAAATATGTTGATCCTTCTGTGATCACATGGGGCGAGTTTAAAGATGCTTTTAATGAGCATTTCTACCCTCGTTATTACAAGACTGACAAACAGAATGAATTTTTGAGACTAGTACAGACATCAACAATGGCAAAGTATCGGAAGAAATTTATAGAATTATTAAAGTATGCTGCTGTTCTTGTAGCTGATGAAGTTGATAAATGCAGATGATTTGAGTATGGCCTGAGAGAAAAAATTAGATCAATGGTGACTGCGTCTAGGTATGAAAATTTGGGTGTAAACTTGTAGAAGCAACATTAAGGGTCGAGAAAAGTTTGTCTAAACGACATAGTGGTCAACAACAAATGAGACCGGGAATTGGAAACACCTAATCTACCTCCTCTGCGATCCCTCCTCCGTGGCCTAGTCATAGATCCTCTTGCCCATGTCTGACTACTGCTTCCAATTCCCGATCTCATTTGTTGTTGACCACCATGTCGTTCAGACAAACTTTTCTCAACCCTTAATGCTGCTTCTACAAGTTTACTCAAATTTTCATACCCAGACGCAGTCACCACCGATCTAATTTCTTCTCTCAGGCCATACTCAAATTTTCTGCATTTATCAACTTCATCAGCTACAAGAGCGGCAGCATACTTTGATAATTCTAGAAATTTCTTCTGATACTCCACCACTGTTGATGTCTGTACTAGTCTCCAAAATTCATTCTGTTTGTCAGTCTTGTAAGAATGAGGGTAAAAATGCTCATTAAAATCATCTTTAAACTTGCCCCACGTGATCACAGAAGGATCAACATATTTACTCTGTACAGACCTCAACCAATCATAAGCACTTCCTTCTAACAAGAAAGTAGCTAGACGTAATTTTCGATCATCAGGACAATCCATCACATCAAATATTCTTTCAATCCTCACCATCCATGATTTTCCTTCTCCTGGATTAGTTGTGCCTATAAATACTTTAGCTCCTAATTTAGTAGCTCGCTCTATACTACAATCTTTATCTGTATTGCGTAGAGCAGAAGCAACAGTGGTGGCAATCCTATCAGCTATTAAGTCAGGCTAGGCTACATCCCCATATCTTCGTTGATCATGGGTCAGATGAACTGATTCCTCGACTCCACTAGCATCCCTATCAGGAGCAGTTGGTGGTTGAGATGACATATCTTGGAGCCTGCGTGTCTTATTACCACGAGCCATGACTCCAACTACAAAATATGTATGATATGATAAGAACAAAAATCAAATAAACCATGCAAACTGACTTTATAACCATGCTCTGATACCAATTGACATGACCCGTCCCAAATCATCCTAATGGATCCGACACTTGTCGTGCGCCGATGGTAGATATTAGGGGAGTGCCGGACCCACCACCAAGATAAACTTGACATGCTTTGACTGTTATAATTTTATAAAAATTTCGATAGAATTCCCTCTGAAAAATGGACTAAAACCACCTGAAAATAAGATCAAATATCCCAAACATGTACATATAGTTTAAAACAGGTACACCGGCCCCTCAAAATACCAATTCTTCAAAGTAGTTGTACTGAAAAAGAAATTTACCCTTCTTTATCACCAAACAACTTCATTTCAAAACATACACAAAATATGGAATGAGCATGTGACTTAATACATTTTTTGACACAAAATACATCAATTCCAGAAAATATGTGTTGTATGAATTAACAAGATGAGACATACAAACAACGACACGATGTAGTTCAACTCGCCGATCGACAGGCTCTGATATGACTCATCGCAGCTTTTATCTGATAAGAAATGAGGTGGCAAAAATATGAGCTTGCGACTCAGTGAGTGGATATTTGTAAAAGTATATTTTTCCATTCATAAAATCTTTCTAAAACCGACATATAGCATAAAATATCTTTTCACAGACATATAAACTAAAATATTTATTCTTTAAACTGAATAAGCTGAATTCTGTAGTTTAAAATCTGATAATACTATCAAAACTAAAATATACTGTAATCATAAACATCTTTATTCTATATACTGCATTTCTAAAATCTGATAAGCTATGTAATACTGAAACATATAATACTGAAACCATACTATGTAATACTGAAACATCACACCAAAAATGTACCCAGAATAACCATACTCGTGTATTGATTGATCTCGATATACATAGCAAGGTTATTAAATTCTGAAATTCTGTAATCCTGTAATTCTGTAATTCTCGTGCAGAGCTATAAAATGGTCATACAATATGGAAACACATTCACAATAGTGCAGAGCGGGTAAAATCACTATAATGATCATACGCCGTGGAAATACATTCACACCAGCCTAGAGTGGGTAAAATAACCATATGAAGTCATACACTGTGGAAACACATTCACATCAGTGCAGACGAGGGTAAAATCACCTAGGTACTTTCTGGTGGTTTTTAGAAAATAACTTTAAATATGCTGAAACGTTTAATACTCATATAACATGCTAATAAAATGATTTACTAAATTGAATTTCACTTTTAAAAACAACTGGTTATAAATCAACTTTATTCTAAAAATCGTGTTGTCAAATCGACTGTATGAATTAATAAATTTTCTGAGTTAATATAAATTAAATAAATACTAATTTTTAAAAAATAAGCTTATCCACTCACATAATACAAGCTGAACCTAAGATGGCTGATAGCCTCTTCCAATCTCCTCGTCACCATCTGGAATACATAATAAGCTGACTAATCAACTACTATTAAATTTAAAAACTTTAGGATCTACTTCTATAATACTTAACTAAAATTGGTCGATGTTCGAATGAATTTGCAAAATATTCTTTTGATCAATTGGAGCAAATCCCTTTTTCTAATCCCTTTTCTAATAACTAATTCATCAACAAAACCTTCTTCCCAAGTTTAAAACTAATTTTGCTCTCCAATCTAGTGAAACTAGTAACCATAATTCCACCCATTTAATATACATTTTGTTCCATAAAATCAACTCCCAAGTGAAATATTTCATTTATATAATCATTTCCACAATTAACTAATCAAAAATCCGAAATCGAATTCTAGGATTTCCCCAAAAATTTTATTGCCTACCTTGCTGAAATTGAAACTTAATTAATCCCCAAGCTTGAGCTCCAAATCGTACATATATCACCTAAATTTGACATTTTATCACTACAAGTTAAAACCCTAAAAATTTAATATAAATCACACCTTTATCACTTGGAACAATGGATAAATTACATCCCAACTTGAAGAGATTAGTCTTACCTTTTTTCTTCCTCCCTTTTTTCTTCTCCTCCTTTTTCTTTCTTCTCTGACGATCTCTGCTTCTCTCGCGTTACTATGTGTGTAGGGGTAGGTTTTGGGAGAAAAAGAATGGTCAAAGGTTGAATTTTAAAGTCCCACATGTTCAATTTGCAAAGAAAGTCCCTTAAATCTAATTATAACATACAAGTAAATCCTCAACTTCCAAAAATATATAAATAAATCCCAAATTTTTTTTATTTTGTCCAACTTAACCTTCAAAATCTTTATAATTTATAAGATAAACCCAAACAAAATGATTTGATCAATCAACTCCCAATAAAAATGATTTATTTCATACAAGTATTCATTTGACTTGACTTTGAAAATTTCACTATTAACTTTGACTAGATAAAAATGTGGATTGTATCATCCCAAGCCAGCAACTGAGAAAACAACAGATCTTGTCCAGGGCCACGATTTGATAACAATAAGGAGACATTTAAGTTTGATTCAACTCAAAACTAATAAGCAAATATAAGTCATCACCAATAGCCAGAACCTAATGCACCCCTACAATGTTGGAAAAGCCAATGCCTAATGACAAAAAGCAATAGACAGTAGCCACTCTATCTCCAGTCACATTATAATAAAAGTGCCCCCCGGAGCACATTCGAGTTGGTGGAACAATTGCATTGGTGGGCTCACAAAACAAGTGTGGAGGGTTCGATTCCTGGAAGGCAGCATCTTGGAAGGGAGATTTATCTCGAAGGCAAAGTACTGGAAGGCAGTGGAGAGGGCCCTCTTTCGGGAAGGAGTAAAAGCCATGCAGGAACTTGGGAGCCAATAAGGGCACAACTCGCGATTAACTTCCTCAAGCTAATGAGGGGCCGGAGGCTTGAGGTTCAGGATTTAGTCTGACGAAACTGGGACACCTGGGTATCAAAAAAAAAAAAAAAACATTATAATAAAAGTAATATAGTTTTCATCAAGAAAGTATGTTGCAGCACATGAGAAGCATTAACTTGACCGAGTCTATGACATCTAACAATGAATGAAAGGGCTATAGCATGGCCTAATCATATTTAAAATCATCATAGAATGGCAATTAGTAAATATAAAGCGAGCTTGACTGCTTTCTTCGGTTTTCCAAGAGCAGTGAAAGTGGTAAACTTTGAGTCTCTTGTCTAATTTCAACATAATTTTTTTTCTTCCTATTTCGTACCTTTCCTCCTTTCGGGTTGACTCAAGTTTCCTAGAAATTCTTTATTGGGATGAAAACAGGCATGTTAAGAGAATGAAATTGCAGCAATATACACTCACATGCTGTTACCTAATATAGATTTAGAGTCTTTGTGCTTGTGTGCGTACAATGGATAACTGCTGCCAAAAAAAAACTGATCATGCTGAAAGGATGAAAAAACCAAATATAATTTGCTGACAGAAACAGAATTTGGTCATTGCAATATGAAATGGGAAGAACTTGTTTAAAGGATTAACTCTCTCTCTCTCTCTCTCTCTCTCTCTCTCTCAATTGGTTGGGTATCTACTTCAATCAACCAATTATACTTTGTGTTGAATGTTCTGAAATAGTATTGGTATGAGAGAAATTCATGCAAAGCAAAATTAGAAACATGAATCTATATCTACGCACACGCCTATATAAACACATCTATTCATATATATACACTAATGCATGTCTGAGTGTAAAACATTCGGTAATTTAAAGAGCACGTGTGGATCAGAAGAGGGAATTTGACCAAATTTTATCATATCCTGTAAGAAACCTTAAAAATTAAGGAATTGATGCTATATCAAACCAAAAAATCACTCAATAATTAAAAATAAATAAATAAATTTGCTGAATGCAAATAGGGATATCCCAGTTCAATAAATTTTACAAGCTTCATCATAAAAATTTAAGCAAAAGAACTAGACCTACAAAACAAAGTTTGTGACATTATCATCTATGAAACAAAGGCCACCAAGCCAAAAAGAAAAAGAGGAGCCCTACATAGTTATTAGTAATTTGACTTCCGAGCCTTCCTCTTAAAGGCCTTGGGATTCAACAAAACCTTAAAAGGAAATGTGAAAGGTTTATAAGTTGCCCTTCGTTTTGCTCTCCCTCTCCCTGCATTTATTCAAAATGAAAAAATATGAATTAAAATTTTAATATAGGTCTTTATTATCATTATTTGCTTAAAAGAAACTAAAAATAATCATTTAATAGAAAAATTAGATCAGAATCAGACAGTTTTAGTAGACTCGAGTTCAAAAATGAATTCCCATATCCAAACAGTGAACAGATTTGCATAGGTTGAAGTGAAAGATAGATAACGAGAGCTCAAATAGAAATTGAAATTACATTTAAAGTTATGAAATCAGAACATAATCATACCTGCTTGAGAATTGTCCAGGAATCGATGACTTGTGACAGGATTTATCTGCTTTTTCTTGCTCATCAAATCATCCAACGTTGGATTACTAGATTCTTCAATAGCCCTTTTATCACCTAAGGAAACTGAAGTAAGTATTATTTCCTTCAATTGTTCTCTCTCCATATGGCCATTTTGTGAAGATATGCCAGCTGAAGCTAAAACAGGTCCTTTTTCAATTTCTCTCTCTAACTTGCTTTGAACAGTATTCACTTCAATGCCTTCTTGTGCACTTGAAACTACAATGCCATTTTCCATATCGGACTCCTCAATGTTGGCAGAAAAAGAAATATCATTCAACGAAGCGGGTTTGTCAGAGAAAGGAGTAATTTCACTTTTACTCCTAGAATTGAAAACTGGTGACCCATCTGGTATAACATTTGTTCTACAAATAGGCACGCAACTTTGGAATTCTGAAATGGGTAATTCTACATCAGTGTGAACAGAATTTCCATCCAACTTGCTTGAATTCCTCAGTTTCTCAATGGAAACATTATCAAGTTCCTCAAAATCAGTGAAACAATTTGAAGCACCAGTATCCGTTGGCAAATCTGACATTTCAGAATCTTCACACCCAAAATCCTGATATTTGTTCTTCACGTCATTTAATGAAATTTGACTGTCTTCAAGCAAAGGAATAAGTATGCCTTGCTCTTTGGGAAGGGGATCCAATAGAATTTTAGAATCGTCGCAGATTTGACTTTCTTCAAAGAGAGGATTAAGACTGCCTTGCTTTTGAACCACAGCATTAAGGCTGTCTTGTCCTTCAGGCAAAGGATTTAGGCCACCCTTATCTACAGGCATCTCATAATCTGCAATAGCTGCCTCAGTCTCCTCAGACTCCGGCAAATATTTACCATGATCTGGTGGCTTTGGTGCCACATTCTTCAGAGAGATTATATCTTTGATTTGCAGGCCATGCACAGGCAGACCATTCACGCCTGATGTGAAGTCAATGGTTTTCACAGTTTTGGCTACATTGCTGGAGGCGGAGAAAGATTTTTCCATGTCATCTAGTATCAAGTCGCCATCACCGCTAGAAATAGGATCCCATTTAAGCCAGTCATCAAATGGAGATTGCTCTGAATTAATTTGTCCGCTTGATAGTATTCGTTCAACCTTAATAGCCTCCTTATAAAAATGTTTTTTCCTTAAAGCATTAGCTAGGATTGATCTAGCATAAATAGGAGTAAAGAAATTGCATTCATCAAAAAACAGAACAAAATTGAAAGAATGGCTAAAGCTTTTACAAGTCTGCTTACCTACAATTTTTGGAAATGGCTGCTTTAGCACGCTCCTTGGAGAGCCCAAGTAGAGATAACAAATTTGCAACATCATATGGTCCTCTAAGTTCAGTAACAGAAGGAGCAGCACTAGAGAATATTAAATTATTTCCTCGTGTCCAATCAACTAGTAGCTGAAATTTAAGTAGTTGGTCAGTTAAGCTGTAGCAGAAGTCCACCCAAATCCCCATCTCTCCACCCAACCACACTCAAAAAGGAGAAAATGTGAAACAAAGCACCCAGAACATACTTGTAGGTATTGGAAATTCGGAAATTAAGACTGCATAATCCAATACAGATTAGCAGAAATCTACATATTTAACCATTTGATAGACATGGATTTAAAACACATCCCAATGAAATGGAACAATCAGTCAACATGTACTCAATCCCAAAGTAGCACAGTAGTACTTGATCAGTTCTGCAGCAGGAAGATGAATTGTTTCAGACTCAGTAGTTTCTTACTTGTTATTGAAGATCGTTTTATCTTAATGAGATTGGTTAATAAGGGTAGCATAAGCTATTATCTCAACTGAGCTGTGGTAAAAAGTGGAAGGGGATCTAGAACAGCTTGAAAGTAGTCCTTCATCCAAGCACCAGACAAGGATAGAACATGAGATGTGTTGATTAAAAACATTACATGAAACATAAATCATTTAATCTTTTTGAATTTCATTAATTTTGTACGGAAGATTGAATCAACCCTAGTGAAGTACTTTCGTATTGATTCACACTGGTCCCAAGTTTCAATTTAAATCTAATTAACCCCCACCAAACCTGTCCATTCCCCTATGATTTATATCATCATTGATGTATGACATTGTAACTAAAGTGAGTAATGAGCTGATTCTGTATAGTTACTTATGCTTGCAAGAACAGTTGAATAATGAATGTATAGAGTAGGGTTCTCTTGGGGCAGCAAGAAATCCTTGCTCATGCACCAATGGTTAAGTATTCATAAAATTTAAAATTTGGAAACTGAAATGGTATAAGCAATAGGATGCATCGATTCCAAGGTTTAAATATACTGCCATTGATCAAAAAAATCTACACACACATTCTAGTTGCATACCATTTTTGAGTTATTTTAATCCCGTTTGATAGATATTCAGTCCGTCAAATGGAAAGAAAACCATGATATTGGGAATAAGGCTTAGTTTGTTGTTTAGACTCGAGACATTATTTTTTTCTTCATATTAAAAACAAGGACCATATATTTTACCACTATTATGTCTATACAGATATCACAACCAAAGCTCAAATAGAAAATTTCTGAAAGCATACTGAACTAACAGATACACAGTGGGATTGAAGAGATAAAATGTTATGTTGTGACTACTAGATTCATGTCACTACTCGATCTAGCAGTATGTCAATAAAAATATACGCGATCTCAATATGTGTGACTTTTTCTCGACAAACCAGCAAATTCCAGAATTCCTAAGCAATAATTTTACATGGATCCCTTTAAGTCCAGAAACTTGGGCATACAGTAGGTTTTTTATAAACCTTGTTATAATAATTGTAATCAACCCATATTAGAGAATTTTAATACGCAATCTCCCAGTGCTAGTTTTAGGTTTTCGTGTTTAACCATTAATTAAGAACTTGTACACAAATCTTGAATATTGAAGATAAATTACAACATTAAAAAAAAAAAAAAAAGAGTAACTCTAAAGCTCACCTTGCAATTAGATATCACTTCCCTCCTTGCTTGTGCATCCACGATCAAACTAGAGTATGTAATCTCAAAGTACACTCCACGCTGCACATCAAGCAGAAAATTTTCACTATCATCCAGGAAACAAGTAACTAACCACAAACCAATAGATGGAAACAAAAACAATTAGGAAGAAGAGGATCCGCTAAGATAACAAAATCCAAAGATATTTGAACTTGCACAATGACAACACATGCAAGAACACGGGGTTTGTCATTTCTTTATCATATGGATGCATAGGCCTACATTGACATGTTGTAAGAAAATATTGACAATCCTGAAGAAAATTCATCCATCATCTCCTACAGTGTCTCAAGTGTTGATTGGAGGTGTGTCAACCAGTGGAATAAGTCTGTATTAGGAGACAATTTCACTCCGCCATAATAAACTTTGGCGAAATGTCGACCGCAATCTTCACTGATTGGAACACTTGCCTCTCTTCTCTTTTTTTGTTTTTTGAATTAGATAGAGGGGGCTCTTACTTATTCAAGGGGGGTGATAGAAAAATAGAGGGATGGCACCCGATTTGAAACAAAATGGAAGTCATGAAACTGAAAATCAATTCGCTGACCACGTCTCGCACACAAATCTATCGTTGCAGGGAACATGGTAGCCAATACAAGAATGTTGAAATGAATCTGTAGCGGAGTGCAAAGGGAAAGTAAGAAAGTATATTCTCAGATTGTTAAGGTAGGAAGCACTGAAGATAAGCTGTGGGAGAGCAAATTGTTTCATACTAGTAATGTGGTAAAACTAGAGGAAGAGATCAACCTTAAAACAAAGGAGACGATTAATGTAAAAGAATGAGTCCTTGCAGTTTACCAAGGAAAATGGCACTTTAAAGAGCACGGCGGAAGAAGATAATCAATGTGGCTGAATCCATATACAAATAAGTTGATCTACTTCACACTTACATTGTGATATAGATGTCTTAAGGCCAATAAACTTCTCTAATATGCATCAACCAGAGAAATTCACAGCTTTTGGTGATACTATAAGTTAACAGACCCCATTAAAACTACACAAAGGTAACATCGAGACCCTAGAAACTATGTTAACATATTTCAGCCATATCTTCCTATCGAAAACCTTTTTATGATTGATTTAAAATATGGCAACACAAATAAATAAAGACAATCAAGTAAAGAACAAACCTTGATTGCAGCTTTAACCATTGGTTGCTTCAACCTAAAAGGCAACTTTTCCGAGTAATCAATGGCAATAATATCCACCTACACATCCAATATCAAATACAAACGTGTCAATAGCACACGTTAATTATACCCCGACCGATGTACACTGTACACATCAAGAGTTAAAACGAGTTCAATTTATTAAAAATCGAACCTCGGAGGTTTTACAGGCCTGATCAAAGGCGTTCTGATTTACGGGTCTAACAGCAACTATATCGTAACTTTTTAGAATCCCATTGCTAGACTTGAGAACGGGAGCAGCACTATCGACAATTAATGTAAGGCGAGTGTACTGGCGGAAGGGGGATGAAACGGTGACGTTTAGAAGCTCACGATGGAACTTGACGGCGGCGGAGAAATACGAGGAAGAAGGTGCGACTTTTAAGAGGGAGGAGAGCGGGAAGAGAGGTATTACGCAGCGGTCGGATTCCGAAATCACGCCTTTGAGGGTACGGTTGTAGGCCACTCCAGTGTAGCCGAGTTCCATGGCTTTTATGGCAAGCTTTAGCCGGCGGGATTTTAGAGAGGATTTATCGATAACGTGACGATCGGACTCACGGTAGGGGATGTTCAGGTCGAAGAACCCCATTTGGATGTGTAGACGAGGGCAGTACGGTATTGAGTGGCCGGGAATCGGGACTATAAACGGTGGTCACGGCTGAGAGGGGTGGCCGAGATTTGAAGTTTGTTTCCTGTTAAGAGGGAATTCCAGAGCTCAGGGGTTAGACTTAGGGCTCTAAAATTTGGAAATTTTGGGGGGGAAATAGCAGTGGAGGTCCCCAACTTTATACAAGAGTTGTATTTAAGTTTTTATAATTGCTTTTAATTTGTAATACTTAAAAAGTTTCTTTCTTATTCTAGTCTAATTTTTGTAATAAGAGAGTTTTCATTAATTAGAGTTATTATATATTTTTAAGTTTCTTCTTGCACTCATAGAGTTTTTGATTGAGTCGATTTCTTGATTATAAATTCAAATCAAATTGAATTAGACTATTACTTAATGACGATAGAGTATTCATTAATAAAATTGAATTTCGAATCACAAAGATCTATAATTACCATGTGATTGTACAACAACGATGAAGGCAATGTAACTATGACAAATGTGCTCGAGTTATATCAGTTGAATTTTTAATTTTTTCGTACGCTTTGATCACAAAACACCGGGGTGCAATGTATCTAGGCAAGTTGTGATGGATCGCGAGAATGTTCCGAACAAAGATAGTAATCAGGTTGTGCATAACAAGAATGCGGATAATCAATCTATGGATGCAAAACAGCTTGGAGTTGAAACGAATGGAAATGTGCAGAATACATCTTGCAAAAATGGCTAGAATGGACAAAATTGCCAGCATGTATCTGGGCGTAAGGACCAGGATGCTACTGGCCAAAATGGCTAGAACTGCTTTGGACAGAATGGCCAGCAAGCTACTGGCCAGAATGCTGGCAGTAACTCTGTATAAGGAAATAGGGACGAATTGAATAATTCCTTTGTTGAAGTGGCTAGAAAAAAGAAGGGAATGAACGAGTCTAATGGCCATGATCAGGGAGAACGACAGATAAAGGCAACTTGCAATGACAAACTTAAAGAAAAGATGGATGATCTACATATTGTAGCAATCAAGAAAGATAAGAAGAGGATAACCCCTCTCTTGATATTGAAATGATTCTGTAAGAAGGGAAATGCCCTACACTAGCATAGAAGTTCACCACTTCAAGTTCTAGTATTGTTTAGATGAAGTTGCAACAAGTTTTGAAACTTCATATTTGGATTCATTTGGAGTCTTTGCTTTGGATCTTTAGATTTTGTGTAATGTTTGACTTCTATACCCAGATAGTTGTACTCATTTTTTGTCAATACAAATTTATTCACCTGATAAAAAAATAATAATAATAATAACAATAGTACGTAGTGTTTAATATTGAATTCTTAAGATGAATGAGAACTATAATTAAATTAATATACAATTCAGATAGAGGAAATTAGACTATATACCATGAATATAAGAGTGCTTTGAAAAATCATCTCAAAAGTTATTACAAAGTATAAAATATTGCATATTTTCATTAAATTAAACTCTAACGCTCTTATTTTATACTTTCTTCTCTATTTTATCTCTATATATTCCTCTCTCTTTCATCTCTCTCTAGAATAATTGGGAAAAGTAATCTGGTATGGGATATGCATTCATACTTTTGGCTTTGAAATTCAATTTTTGTTGTCTAATTTTGTCTATTATTTCCCATTTGTGACGTTCCTGGAATCTGAATTTTTCCATTGACAATTTCGAGAGTATGCTTTGGCAAAAAAAGGAAGTAAGGCGACATGAGCATTGTGGGTTTGACGATGGAGGTGTGGAAATTGGAGGAAGCACGCAGAGAAAGAATGGCAATTTAGTGGTTAAGCGACGGAGTTTGGAGTATCGGACACATTTTGCAGGTTGATGCTGATGCCCGATGCTCAACGGCTCCCGTTAATTACTTGAAACGTGTTTGGTGGATGTTTATAAAAATGTTTATAAATTACAGGAGGAGGAAAAAATGAGTAATATTGTTTATAAAAATGTCATTTTTTTTGAATTCGTGTCCATTTTAAAAAAAAAAAAAAATTGTCATTTTTTATGAAAAATTGCAACAGCTGTCCCTAACCTTTCAATTTTTGCAAACTTTATCATAACCTTCATTTTGTGACACTCACAGTCTCAAACTTTTTAAAAATATGAACACGGAGTCCAAATGGATGGAAACCGTCCATTTAACCGTTAATTGACCACAATAGTGAAATTTGACCAAACATAATAAGGGGCAAAATTGTAACTTTGTAAATTTCACTAAAAATACAATTAATTATAATAAGGAAGGAGAAGTTAAATAAAAACAAAAAATCAAACACAAGGTTATCTTCCTCACACCACGTTACCGACCAAATCACAACCAAAACAAAATTAGGTGAGGAATCAGAATTTATAAATATACCTCATCGTTAAGTGATGTAGGACCTGGGGAGATGGAATTGGCGCTAGGTCTGGGGGCTTTAGTTGGAGGTGCGAGTGGGCTCATTAGCTCCGAAGCTAGAGCAGGTAAAGGTGAAGTGTGCTTCTTGCTTTTTTTTTCTTGCTGTGAGCCGAAGCATTAGTTGGGGTCTCAATCGAGGGAGCTGAAGTCAAAGCTGGTGGTGTTGTCACCTTGGGAGTTGAAAATGCTGGAGACTGGAGCTAGGGTGGAAGCTGTTGGTGGGGAACTTACAAGAGCCAGGGTAAAAGTTATCGATGGAGAACTTACAGGAGCTGGAGTAGAAACTGTCAGTGGAGACTCGCCTCGTGACTTGAACATTGTGTGTGAAAATCTGTTGGACCTAGATAGACGAGGTGGCTTTGATTTGGGTGGTGGTGTAGGGGTGAAGAAGAAGATGAATTTTATTTTTCATTTTATTTTTATTTTGTTTTAATTATTTATTTTAATTGTTAAATAGCAAAGTTACTCTTTTACCTTTTTAAATTAGTCAACTAACGGTTAAATGGACGGTTTCCATCCATTTGAACTCGAAGTGCATATTTTTTAAAGGTTTGGAACCGTGGTTGGCACAAAATGAAGAGTAGAGTAAAATCTGTAAAAACGTGAAAGGTTAAGGACCACTGCTACAATTTTTCCTTTTTTATTTTGTCACTTTTTTAATCAGTGTCACCTTTTCTTTTAATTTGTATCACTTTTTTGAATTTTTGTCATTTTTTTTAGTGTTTATTCCTTTTTTTAGTCAACTTCTTGATTTATCAATTTTTAGTGACAAATATTGCTTTTTAATAAAAGTAATATTGTATGTCATTTTTTTAATAAAAATATGATATTTAACTTTTAAAAGTGACATTGTGTCATTTTTCAATATTACACAGTGTTTTTTACTTCTAAAAAATGTCGCATACGAATTTTCAAATAATTGCTAATTTTAAGGGTATTTTTGTAAGTTGCTCATTCAAATTATGGTTAACGGGTGGGTATAGGGGTTGGACTAAGTTGTAGTCCGATCCAGCTCCATTCCAAATCCATCGTGAACTTCAAAATTTTTTTAGGAAAAATTCATAAGATTTTAAGTATTACACATTTCAAAATCAAGAAAACACGTTTCAAACTTCAAAAATCAGATTTTTAATAAAATTTATTTATGATTTAATTAATTAACTAATTAATTTATTAATTAAATATATTTAAGTAATAGATCTTTGCAATTTGATCACAAATTAACGATTTAGTTATTCATTTATTATTTTTGGTTCAAAAATAAGAAATTTTATGTCAAAAATTATTTTACGATCACAATGCAAAATTTTTATGTCACAGTTTGATCACCGGTTACGAATCAAAAAATTATAAGTCATGATTTATTTATTGGTGACAAATCATAAATATTATAAGTCACAACTCGGTCACAAATTAACAATTTTTTAGGTTTCACATCATTTTTTTGTGACAATTCATCTTTTTTTATTGATCATATATTGTTTATTGATCACAAATTAACCAATTTAATGATCACAATCAACCAAACAATTTGTGACCACCACCTCACTACTGCCTCCAGTAGCAGCACCATCATCATCGCCACCAGAACTACCACCACCTCCTCCCAAAAGTGATTACCAACCAGCAAAACAGTACGAACTGTATTGCTATGAATGCAAATATTGTAAACTCAAGAAAAGCCAATTGCAACCTCGATAACAAATAACTACATCCCAATTTGATGCTACAGCGAGCACCACGATCACCTCACCACCACCACCACAAAAATTAGGGATTAAATGACCATCACCTCCTCATCAACCCCATCACAACCACCACCACCTCACCATGATCGAACATGGCTACCTCTAGCACCACCACCGCCTTCGTCAGAACCACCTCTACCACCACCACTTCCCTGACTGCAACACCACCACTACCAACAAACACACTCCAAAATCACTCCACAACCACCACATAATCAAATCCAAATTAATTGAACAACTATCGAAAAAATCATATCCAAAATCACTGTATAACCATTGTTTATAAACCCATATCCGGTTGACCTGATCCCAACAGCAACGTTGGTTGCTTCAGAGCGACATTGTGCCGCTACGGTGGTGGTGGATCGTCACAACGATCTGCAACAAAATACTCTTTCGACACCACACCAAACACCAACACCACAACGATCAACATCACACTAACACCCACCACTGAGTCGTTGTTGTGCCATTATCGCTACCATCGTGCTAATAGCAAAGTTGTGAGTGTTGTGCTCAGCAATGAGGCATTGTTGTTAGGCTCCACTCGTCGCCTCGCTATGTGCCGCCACCTATCGTCGTCGAATGAGGTGGGTTTTGGGGTCAGTGAGGAGAGGTAGGGACACCGGAACAGTGAGAGGGGGTACGTAGAGAGGGTGAGAAGAAAGAGTGAGAGGAGAGTGGTAATTGAATTTTAGGGTTTGGGATGAATATACATATTTAATTTCGTAATACAATTATTAATATTTAAAATATATTAATTAATTAAAAAAATTTAAATTTTGAAATAACAAACCTATCCTATGATTTATGAAATTGGATCTCTAAATGTATTAGATCTTCTTATTATCACAAAATTTTATACTGGCAACTCAGGTTCTAGCACACTAATCCGCCCATAGATCCATAGCCACGAACTTTTCTAGCCCAATTAAAATCAATTATGAACTTATCCAACTAGAAGGTCCCAAACCATTACAAAATCTTAGTTCTCAGTTCCCATTTCCCCACCATTCAATTTGGAACCCAAAAACCCTATTTAACTCAAGTTCCAACTTCCAATCAATCAATCCTCCAACCCCTGTCCGGTGCCAACCATAGACTAACACCTAATTTATAACGATTCAAGCCTTATGACCAAGATTAAGAGGGCAAATGCGACCCGATCATCATGTCCAATCCGTTATATTTTATATACTGTCCATTTCGGGATAATATCTACTCTTTTAATTCCTTACGATTTTCTTTGACCTTCTACAAGATTTGAACTCAAGGTTGTCTTGTAAGATATTTTAAGTTGAATTCTGATACTAATTGAGAATGATTCGAATGCCGTCATGATCATAGCCAATTCACATTATTAACTTTGTTTTACATACCTATATTGTCCTTCGAGACTAAGGTATTTTTTTTTTTTTTTTGCCATCAAGTATAATTGCTAAAGTTAATAGGCCCTTACAGCTAATATCTCTTCGCGCAACATTTATGAAAGTAGCACTAGGTGAACTGGTAATGAACAAGACGGAGGACCACTTTATCATTAGGAAGAAGCAAGCCTATCCCCCGCACATTCGTTACTCACTTTTTCGGCAAATTTTTTACTTGGGGCAAATTTTAAAATCTTAGCTTGAGGTGATTTGTTCACCTTGTCCATGCGGCTATTGGGTAGATCTTATAAAGTCTAAGAGTAATTCAATCCACTTTGCAACTTCAATTTTAGTCACATAAATGTGAAAACGTGAATGAATGTATGTAATATACACTAACTCAAAAAGACTTCTTCACATATAAGGAGCAAAATAAGATTCTAAATTTTGCATCTGAAGTTTGGTTGTTTGTTGACTAAATTTGATTGAACTTGACTAAGTTTGGATGAACATTCATTTTTGGACATTCTGCAGGCTGGAAAAGGGTTTTTTAAATTTACACTACCAACTTGGCTTTTTGCATTATTTTAGTTAATAAGGATTATCTCTTTGGACTTTGATTGTTTATATGGTTTGAGACTGCGTGTGCTCATCGTGATTAGCTTAAATTATACTTAACTAACTAATAATAATACTAAATTGATAATTGATTGTCCTCAACAGTCAATAAAATTTGAAATGAATATTTTTTGTCACACAAATACAACATTTCATTTACGATTCCATTGTTAATTATATTATAATCATTTAAATATTACACGATTTTTGTAGGGAAAATGGACTTTTCTCTTTATCATATAATAGAAAAATATATAAGTCTATAACTGAAAATGGACACGCTAACTTAAAATCGATCATATACTAATCTTTTCACTCTCTTACAATATAAAAGTATGTCCAAGCACCCTTTTTTTTTTTTTCATTTAAAAAATCCAGACGTATCCAGACAAATAGGAAAATAAGCAAAAGATATGGTCGATCAATGCATATAACCATGTAAAAAGAGAGCTACAAAACATATTAAGCCTCGTTTGGCCCCCTTTAAAACTCTTCAATTCAATTTAATTTTTTCTCCTTTCTACTTTCAACCACATAATCTTTAATAAAATAATATTACACTCAAATTGAAAACTTTTCAACCACACAATCTTAAAAAAATAAAATACTATTCCCCCGAGCATAAATCCAAATAATGGTGACCAAACAGGGGCTAAGTTATGGACCACTTTATTATCGACTTATGGTAAGCGACAAGTACCATACTTAACAACAATAACTTATTGATACTACTTATAGTAGACATTCAAAATTATATTACATTATCATATATGAGACAATTTAATTATTATTGTTACTTAGACATATTCCATGATTTAGGTAGAGAAATTGAAGATTTGTGGTTATTATAAATTACTAAATTTATTATTCTTATAATGGAATATATACACAAGTCAATAATGAAAATGGACACTATAAATTAGGATTAATCATATACTAAAGCTTTCCTCCCTCTTACAACAAAAAAAAGCATATCCAAGCATCTTTAATTGTGCTTAAAAGTAAATTAAAACCACCTTCAAAATTACCGTTTTTCTTTAAATTTAATCAATAAAGCTGGCAAGTTTAATTAACACTTGAGATTTTAAAAAAAAAAGAAAAAAGAAAAATTGCAAATTGAAGGGGCTCTGCATGACCTTCAAATTAATGTAAAATAAAAAAATTAAAGACAAAGAGTTCAAAGTAAAAGTTAGAGAAATTCTACTGGGGGCACAAGCGCTTGTGGCGCCTCCTATTGGCTGACGTCTAGGGTCCATGTGGCCTTGGATGAACAGCAAAACCCATGAATGTAGTCAAAAGCGTCTTCAACATATTCTCTTATGTTTGGATAAAAAAAATGATACCTCCTCTCTATTCTCTTTACTAGCATTCAGAATTTAGCCCCTGTTTGGTTTTCATTCTTTTTTCATTAAAATGAAAAATATGATCGTTATTCATCACATCAAGTCATCAAATTTGAATTTCTATCTATTGTGTGGGACCCGTAACGACTATATTTTTCATTTTCATTCTTTCAAAAATAAGAAACAAACGGGGGTTTAATTTCAAAAAGTTACTTTTAAGTATAACCGAGAAGTCTAGAAGTTCCATCCACGCCATAAACTCCCATGATGTCATATCATTTCCTGCTTCTATAATCGGCCACTCCAAAACACATAAAACCGCAGTAAAACAAAAGAGATCCCAATTCTCTCTCTCTCTCTTTCTCTCACACACACATAAACTAACTTTTTCTTATTTCTTAAGCACCTTCTTGAGATAGACTGGCCGGAAAAAATGGCCTCTACATGCATCTCAAACTGTATTAACGATGCCCGTGTTCCAGTTAGAGCCACCTACGTGAACCTCTACAAGTGGCCGGAATCCGATGCCGAGTTTGTACGATCAGTGAGCTCTAAAACAGACCGGAATGTCCCAAGCAGCGGCGGAGGCTCCGCCTACGGCCGTCCCCGGGTGGTGGACAGTATTTCATGCAGACAATTATATTTAAGAAGCTACACTTTCTCAAGGGAAGAAGATTATAAAAATGACGAGAAGACCATAAAGTGCCTTGGAAGAGGAAAAGAGAAGCATGCGGTGGATAATAAAAGAAAAAGAAAGCCTCGTGGCCGTGATGGCGATCGCAGCAGCGGAAGCGGTGGCGGAAGGAGGAAATACAAAGGGTTTAGAAGGGCTAAAGCAGTTTCATGCGCTGCCTTGGTTTCCATTTTCCGGAGGTTGCTGTCTTGCACCACCGAGGTTGATGTTGTCAATTAATTCGTAATTATATTTTCTTCTTCATTTTTATATATTTATGACATTTTCCTTTTATTAAGGTTTTAATTATACAAAGGAAGTCTATAACGTTATTCACTTCTATTATATGCATGTATTGATGTTTTTAGACTTTCTTGAGCGAATAATTTCACAAGTTTTTCCCTTTTATTTTTTATTTTAAATTTTAAATTTGCTAGTTAATCTTGTTATTCCCTCTCGCTTAATAAGAAAAAGTTATGAAGAGAGGAATAATATATTAAATTACTAATTTTGTTGAAATTTTTTCAAACAAATAGAATAGATTTTTTTTTTATTCATATCAAAAAGTTTTTTTTTTTTTTACTTAAATCCCATTAAATTGTTGTACAAATGAAGTTGATTGTTGAATTCTTGTGTATTATATGCCAAATATTTGATTATAGAATTACATTTTAATCACTTCATAATTATACTTAGCGTACAAATACAGGTGTCATGCTATAAATTGAAAATGAAATAATTAAATGATGCAAGTATGTATTGTTAAGTCAACCACCCACCCAACTACTTTGATATTAAGTCCTTGATTCATAGAGATCAAAATTTGATTTCTCAAGATAAAGTCAACAATTAGTTTAAATCATACATTTTATGGGATTCACAACTTTTTAATCATACATTTCATTAATTTTTATCAAAATATACTAAAAATCTGATTTTAATATATACCAAATAGGAGCTAAATTGTAATATAAAATGACAAATACTTGTATGTAACGTGTTAAATTCATGCAATAGCCTTGTGTGGTGATATTCGTGCTATGATGTAAGCACTAATTTCGTAGACGCACCCCCATTTTCACACAGTGAAATCATTAAATTGCAGTAGGTAACGATATTGATCATTAAATATTTGTATATTTCACCTGTAAGATGCATAAAAAATAAAAGTAAAATGAAGCCGGCAACTAACTTAAATACTTAGTGTGATTTGCATGTCAAACACATTCGTTATAAAAAGAATGGAAGACTATCAAATAGAATTTCATAAGACTATCAAATAGAATTTCATAAGACTATCAAATAGAATTTCATAAGACTATCAAATAGAATTTCATAAGACTATCAAATAGAATTTCATAAGACTATCAAATAGAATTTCATAAGACTATCAAATAGAATTTCATAAGACTATCAAATAGAATTTCATAAGACTATCAAATAGAATTTCATAAGACTATCAAATAGAATTTCATAACTACTTATTCGGTGAAAAAGATTGGTGAAATAAGGGTGCCTGAATGGGACGGCCAAAGTAGTTTTCAGTTTGTTCACTTTCATATTATTTTCCAATATCCACCACAAACTAAAGTAGTTAAAAATTGATAATATAAAAAGGCTCAAACCTTTTCAGTGTCTTTTTCATGTATATATTTTTATTTTTATTTTCATAATTTTTATAAAGTCAGAAGATTAGTGTATTTAATTTTATATGTTTTAACTTAATATTAGAAAAAATTTAATGAAATATTAAACTATTCTTGACACTATAAGTCTCAATATGATACCAAGGTCCAACAAGTTCAAAATAATAATTCAATCAATTTAGAGCTCACTAAGAAATGAAATTTCATGTCTCCATAACTAAAATAAACAATATACACGAATTTAGATTCTTTTTAATTATGTTGATCTTTCAAGAAAAAAATCTCATTACGTTCAACAACTTATTTTTTAAGAAATCAGAGTGTCTCCTCTTTAAATATATTTTTATTGAAATCGATCACACTTTATATTTAGAATACCTTTGACATTCTATCACGACAAGTATGTCGAAATGTATAATTTATAATAATTTTGAGCTTGAAGAGGATTGATGATCAAGTGGGAAATATGATGGGAAGAAGAAGTACACCATAAGCAAAGAAGAAAAAGGCATAGGCATGCGCCAAAGAACAAAGGATAATGATAAAGTTAAACCCGAATGTAATTATGGAACTTACAATGTGGGTAGTAGTTGGGTTCATCGCCATCATATTTACCTTTTTCTTTGTTCCTTTACTTGGTTAATTATATGATGACAAGTAAAATGAGTTGGTTGTCTTTTATATAGAGCTATTGAAGCAGCGCGTTTGATAAGTGTATTTTATACACTTATTTGAACTTAAAAATATAGATATTTATAGTCTTTTTGAAAAATTATAGTTATTGTATATTTTGTTTATTAGACGAAACTCGATGAAAGGAAGTGAATTGAAAGAAAGAAGCGAAAATGGCAAGATCCAATTGTGAGGGACTAAAGTGTAAATACTCGAAAGTTGTATCGAACCTTACGATGAAGATTTGAGAATGCCAAGGGTCAATTGAGAGTCAAGAAGGAGTAAAATATGATCAAAATGTTTTACAAATCCATTTTTAATTGCACAAATATGTTTTAGATTTTTAGTCGGAGATTGATACCCATTTTTGATATGGTGAACGTTCGAATTGAAAAAAATGCTACCTCTAGCAAAATTGTAGCCCTTTCAATTATCTTTATAACCCAATTTGAATTGCCTCAATCGGATATCGAGAAAGAAAATTATGATAAAAATACTAGAAGATGTGCAGTATTGAGTTTTGTCTGAAAGGTGGCGCCAAAGTGCACATTTCAGAGTTGTGGCACCGCAGTGCCACTCCCATGGTGCCGAGGCACCACTTGCTTACCTACGGCGCAAATTTTGGCCTTCTAAAGCACATAGAAACCCTACAATAACTAAAAATGTGAGGGCAACTATAAATACAAGAAATGAGGCAATTGAATGAGTTCCACATGAGAGACATAGAACACAGCTTGGAGAATTAGAGAGCAAAATCAATGGAGAAAACACACATAATCATCAAGATCAAAGAGCAAAAGTTGGGGTTTAAAACTTTTGAGGTTGAAGAAGATTCTTGGTGCAAGATCCAATTTTTTCCATAATCAAGATTTCAAAACCCGATTATAAACACTATAATTTTTGTTTTTCTTTCATTATTATGAGTAGCTAAATTCATAGTTAAGACGAAAACATTAATTGATGACGTGACAGTAAAAAATGATACTCACACAAAATTGCTAGTTGCTGACATGAAATAAGTACAACTTCATTAAAATAAATGTCAGACATCATTTTATTGATTGTCATGCGATTGATTTTATTTTATCCAACTAATGGAATTATGGAGTAGCATAATTGAAATCGAATTGAAGTGTAATTACCGATTGAACAAAATTGAATTAAGTTATCTAATTGAAATATAAACAATTATATTGCTGCAAATGAAATTTTGCCGTATTATAACAGTAGAGAAAAATAGAGGTGAAAAAAATTTATTCTTATGTGCTTGCATTTTTCTCTATAATGGTCATAACATCTATAGAACTTGAAATCAACAAGTCTGTGACATTTCAACACGGCTTCTTTTCTCTTCTTAATTGTTCTCTAACTTTTGGCACTTTTTCAGTGATTTTTTTCTTAAAAAAAAAAAAAAATTGTTTTTAATTATTTATTTAAAACTAATTTGCAAATTTTTTTTGAAAATTTTGGGGTATAGTTCCAATTTATTCTTTATTCTTTATTTTATTTAAATAGAAGGATATGTTCGTCTCTTTATAGCTCTTAATAGAAAAAAGGATAAAAATGACGATTTCTGCAATGAAATATGAAAATAAAGATGAAAATGTCAAAGAATAAATGGAAGGGACATTTTGCACAATACTATTGAGAGGTATGGACGTTTTGTGCTAATTATCCTTTTAATAATTTATTTGGACTCATTTGTAATTTTTAAAATGTTTGGAAATATAATTGCAATTTGTTCTTTAATTTTTCTTTTCTTTTCTTTTCTTTTTTTATTATTTAAATAAGAGGGTGTATTTTTCATTTTATATTTTTTTTATTGAGAATTGGATGAAATGAAATTTTTCACAATAAAAGGTAAAAATAAGGGTGAAAATACTAAAAATGAAATGTAAGGACATTTTGCTCAATAGCATTTAGAGGTAAGGACGTTTTGTGTTAATTACCCTTTAAAATAATATCTCTCAAAACGGAAAATAGAAAAAAAAAATTCAAAACTAAAAACAAAAAACTGATGCACAAACCAAATGCATGCTTAGTTATTATACCGTTTTACAGATTTTCAAGAGAGTTCTGAGTTACAATATTGAAATTCTTCTACCTTCCCCCGTGATTATTTACTAAAAACTAAATTGAGGGATCTATCATGTAAAAAGGGACTTGTATTGTAAATTTTCTTAATTTTCACTATGCGAGCTAGCTTAGCCTCGTAATTTTGTAACAAAGCTTCCACCTACTATTCGAGCATCATATCCTTAATCGTGCATTGATTATTATTACGCGAATCACCAGTACAAAGATGATCTTGATGACAAAAAATGGATATCTTCAAGAGCTTGTAATGGATTAACTGAAGTAAAACGTGATGCATTCTTTAGTGTATAGATAACCCTCCACCTGCAGTGCTGCTCTGAAATTATCCTATTGATCGATTTCCTTTCGTCGAAGTTTCTTTCTACATTAACTGGTACTTCCGAGATTACTCAGTTGGAAGAAAGCAAAAAACGTTCATTAAAGATTTACATGGGCGACCAGCCTTTCTTCAAGGCAGTGTTACCTCCTTATGAAAATTTTACAAGGTTATATGCAGTAACATCATTGTTTCTCTCAGGCTTTCTGAAGACTCAACCCTTCTCATCAATGCGAAGGAAGTCTTTTTAATCAGATATGCTCTAACAGAAGGAACCAACAGCAGAGATGGGAGATTCAAAAGTTTTCGATTTTAGAAATGTTGTAGTCTAAAAACCAGCTCTTAAAAAGTAATCATGGGAAACTCCCTTGTTAAGGTAAAGTCCCATGATCGATTAGATACTCTTCGACAAAATCCCGCAAGGGTACGAGTTCATTGTATACGAAATAATCGTGATGAGATAGTTATCGTCCCACAGGGAATAAGGCTCAATTCTAGTATGTTTGATATATTTCAATTCGTGAATGTAATAAAAGATTCTTGATCGGTAACTAACTATGTTTTATAACAAAAACTTGTGAAATTAATAATAATTGGTTTAAAAGTCAA